TCAGCAAAAAATAACAATTTATACCTACGCAAAAAGTAAATAAATAAATAAATAAATAAATAAATAAATAAAGCAATGACATGAAAGTAGTATAGGTAGTACACATCTAACATTTTAGTTACATCTATTTGAATGAAAAAAATGGGAACTTAGGAAGCACATAGGTCACTTATGATGCGTATTCGGGCATATTCGTAGAGTAAAAATATCATACTTTACGCCGAAAAAACGAAACTGAAAGTTAAATGCGTTAACTTCCAAAAACCATACATAATCCAACGAAAATAAATAATTGGTTAATAACAGCTTTCTTGTATGCAAAGAAAAAAAATTAAAAATGTTAAAAAAGAGATGTCGACACAAAATTACACAGTCCCTTCAATTCTGAAGATACTACAAACGAACTGTACCTTAACATTTTCATATCCCAGAAGCAAAAGTTCCCATGACGAATATTGCTATCGCTAGCGATTGCAAAAACCAACTTGTTTAATATTTTAGCGTTTTGGGTTATAAATATTATTTTACTGGCATCTTCCGGAAATCACCGAGCCCGCCGTTTGCTTGTTTCCAGTGTTTAGGAAATTGCCCCCAAACGCGGGAAATTTGAAAAAGCGCGTTCCTAACAACGCAAATTGCGCAGTAAGGAGTGTATTTCAGACTTTTTTAATGTGACCATCGTAATTTTTGTGTCATTTAACCTCTGAAAAGTCTATTCGCGCGGCTGTATCTCTTGCATGCAACACGCCCATTCTGCCGCGCTAAGGAATAACGCCGTATAAGCTTTCAGGCGTTGTCATATTTCCTTCAATATAAGACCAATTTATTAGGAAAATTGTGAATATTTTTCTTCAAATTTTTCAGACAATTTTGTTCGCAATCTGATCTAAAATATCTGAAAATTTCATAGAAAAATGTGCATAACTTTCCTCAAAAATACATATTTTATCCGGGGCAATGTGGCAACTCTCGAATGCTCGTACGGCGTTTTTCCTTAGCATGGCAGAATTGCGCGCATAGTTTTCAGGAGTAAGCTGGTAGGTGCAATGGCCTGGTGACATCGTGCAGGGAGCAGTGAAAGGATGCTTTTTCAGTTCAAAGGAGTCGGTATTTTGTGGTGTATTTTATTAGTCCGTTGCAAAGTTTTGCTGAGAAGAAAGGACGAGTTGCTTAAACGGAAAAAGGCTAGAAAGTTACGATGAGAACATCGGAAAAGTCTGAAACTTACTCCCAACTTCACAATCTGCGAAAAAATGCGTACTTTTGAGCTTCCCGCTTAAAACGTATACTACGAGAAAGACATACTTTCAATTACACGAGTCATATTTTCAATTAAAATTCCTGACTTGACGGCCCCTGTAAGTGGCTGTCACTCAGTTTTTACGATTTTTTCCTCGGGGGGGGGGGAATACTCGTGGAAAATCATAAATGAAAATTGTGAGGCAAAGGGCTGCAAAGGTACACTAACAGGCAGCGGGAGGGCGATGGCCCCCTTAACCGGGGGCAGAAGTGGCCGTTTCGGCAATTTTTAAGAAATCTTTGGGGCCTTCCTTTAACCTTCTCTTCCTTAATCAGGAAATCCCTAACCCCCTCCCCCCTATTCACTTTTCGTCGAGACATTCCCTCAAAAACTAGAAGCCAGCCCCCACTTTCCTGAATAGGGATCTGATCAATATTATTGAAGGATTAGGGGGTCCTGGACCACTTCGAGGTCCAGAAGCGTTACCGCGCCTCAGTCGTCATCGTCATGCGTTACTCATGATTTGAGATCGTTAGGGGACCATGCTCCCTAACCGCCTCGCTGTCCAACCCCCCTTAGTGCTTCGCGCCTCAGGCGTTATGCGTTACTTTCATGATTTTATATTACATGTAGAGTAGGATGAGAGTATGATTTAATACCTCAGGCCATCCGTCGGCGCGGACTTGAGCGGTAAGCTTCTCGGTGATGCAGAGGATGTGTAGCCGGGCCCGGAATTTGTTGATGTTGACTCTGTAGTGGGAGACCTCGACTTTTTCACCCTTCTGCCGGAGCGCTTTCAGCTGCATGGCCGGTGTCGCATCGCAGTCGCACGTGATAGTCTGTTCACAAACAAAAATCAATATCCTGATTAATTTGGATAAAAAAACAAAATTAATAGACAGACAACTGACATCACATACTAGGCGGAACTGGTAACTTTTGTGGTTAAAATTCGAGGTGGGGGGAGTGGAGACGGAGAGGAGCGTCTCATCAAAGAGAGTCTGGCGGCACAAAAAGAAACTCCATTGGTACGAGTAAAACATTACAATAAAATATTGTACACTGGGGAAAATGCACATTGGATCTTGAGTCCAGACTCTTGAAAACATTGACAAGAAAAATACTCTTGATTCAATCAGATGTTTGCTTAAATCAAAAGGAAATCCGCTCAAATTAAGAGGCTTGGTTCTTGATTTAAGCAAAGATCCGATGGAATCAAGATTATTTTCTCTTGTCGATGTTTTTAAGAGTCTGGACTCTAGATCCAATGTGTTTTTTTCCAGGGCAGTATTTTAAAAAGTACTAATGCGTTACGAATTTTTAAAGGTTAAATTTTAGGATGGTGGAGAATATTCATGAAATTTGCAAAACTTCGACTGACCGCCAATTTGGAACGGTGAAAACTGAAGACTTCCGGTCGGAGCTACAACTCCTTTATTTTTACATTTTTTTTAATGGTGTTATCAAAAAAGAGGAGGTTGTCGTTTGAAGATTTTTTCGATAGGCCTTGTCCATAAGCGCAGTTCCCGGAACTTTGGCCGAATAAATTATAGCTGATTGAAAGTTTTAACTTATTCCGCCTGCGTATATGGCTAATGGGCAAAAAAGGATGCGAACGTTCCACTAAAGTTCCGCGGACCGTTGTTCATGTGGACAAGGTTTTTTTGTCCACCTAGAGGCGCCGCCCGTAAAAATTTTCGATGTACCTATACCAAAATAAGAGCACCATTGACCTAGGAATATTTCTCCAGTCTCGTATTTTTAGGTGCGACCGTTCAAACGTTAGCGGGGGGTGCCGAACTTTTTAAAGACCCTGTATAATGCACCATAGCGTAGTTCTACAAATAATTACAGATGCAACGTCCCGCTGGCCTTCGCTGATCTGATTGATGCTACTTGAAACTGTGTCAGTGGGAGGGAATCTGCTGAAAAAGCGAACTAAAAAAGGCGCTCGCCCAGAGTGCGAAAGATAAAAACAAACGGAATTCGCGGCGTTCGCGTGCCTCTGATATGATGTAATACTTATTCATGCCGATTTATTCGCACACATGATTTGCCTAATCCCACGCCAAAACGGGACTGTTAAAACCGCAGAGGACCTGCTTTTGTCCGACGCTTGCCCAATAATGACGTCACCTGTGTGTCGCGAAAGCTTCACGAGACTAAATCTCTTTTGAATTGCAACTTTTGCTGCAGCGAAAAGAGTGGGAAGCTGACTATTGAGAGAAGCTTAAAAATCACAGCTGCGACATCAGAAAAGTCCGGAATCCACCTCTATAACTTTACTTCATTACCTACACATGGAGAAAAAGAGACTGAAATTTTGTATTAGTATAGGAAGTAAAAAACGGAGTAACACAAGCTGTAGATTAATTTTTTGTGTTAGTTTTCTCCGTGTCAAATCGACCAAATCTTTGGGTTGAAAAGATCAAATCTTCGTGTTGAAAATCTGCGACCTCGTTAAAATTTACGCGGCAGCCAGTGGCTGGACGGACACTCGAGATTGAAGTCAGTGGCGTGGCGTGAATGATCGATTGTCGATATCTCGCCATTTGAAGCTATGGTAAAGAATCGATTATTCAGGTGTTCGCTGCGAACACCCTGTTTATCGATCCTTTTTCATAGGTTTAAATGGCAAAGCAATAGATATATCGCAAAGCACGCCACGCCACTGGTGAAGGGGTTTCAACCCTGCGGCCTCCGGACGAATATACTTTCTCCGGGTCAGCAAATAACCTCTTTTGCGGCTTTGGCGCATACTTTACGCCCGCTTTTGCAGCATTTCATACTCCCGCTTACATTCCTTCTCTTCTCAGAAAAACCTCATCATTTTTGGGCCGTGTTCGTTTCACTAGGGGTCGAACTAATTTTTTTATCTTCTATTTCACTACAAACAAGAAATTAGGTAACCACCGCAGGGTAAAAAATTGAGCTTTACACCACATGATTCTATGTTAAATTCTTACGGCGACGGGTCGCAGCCGGTGATAATAATGTTTTAACTTCAGTTTCGTTGTAATTTTAGTTCGTTTTTCGTTTTTAAGCACCTGATGATGGCTGCGAATGCCGAAATGGCCATAGTGTTAGTTTAAGGTTTGACAACCGAAATCTCGAAATCGGGCGAAAA